CCATATACCTCTTCGCCACACCCTATACGCGGAGTCTGCCAACTCACGCCAGATCGCGTCGAGTTCTTCCTCAGTCGCCGGCACCCAGAACGGGTCTTCGTCCAGCATTTCAAAACCAGCAAAGATAAGCTGTGGCGAGGCGGCGCCGGAGGTGCGTTTGCGGATCTCGTCGGAGAAGCCGAACGATTCCGCTACTGGCAGGAGAGAGAGGATGGTGAAGAAAGGCGTGCCTTCTTTCATGGTCTCGGAGAGGATACGGCCTCGTCGTCGTGTTATAACACCGTAGACGCGGCCGAGGACTTCGGCTGTTGAGGTGGAAGAGATGTTAGTATTTTTGGGGAGGCTTTATTTATTTTATTATTATTGTTGTTATTATTATTATTATTATTATTATTATTTTCTTTTTAATTCCATTCTTCGATTTTTGGACAATGTAGTGGGACTCTGTTGTCCGGGTGACGCATGGGTGGTAATGGCTGCGGTGCAATTTCAACTTACTAGATGCTTGGATCTCGCAACTGTACATGGCTAAGAGCAGTCTGGGACTCCAGTCGAGGAAGCCTTGCCAGACAGCGTCTCGCGCGGATTTTATTACTTCACCAGTAAAACGGCCAAGCTCTTCCTCTCCCGTCTTGGTGACGGAGACGTCCTCGATCAATACGGCAATGCCCTGGATAGGTTCGCTGCAGAGAGGTCCCTGAGCAGTGGCGAGTTGGAATGCATAAGAGATCTTATCGGAAAATAGGCCCATGCTTCGCCGCTGGTGATCTGCTGAGGCTTGTGAGTTGGTTTGTCGTGTCTCTTGGATTTGAGAGCTTCGGTTCGCGGTGTCGAGGAGCCTGGAATATTGGGGGGGAAACATTGAATTGTTAGCCAGTGTCTTTGATGTCAGATGGATATGTTCGATTTCGCACTCACAATTTATCACATGAGCTCGTAGATGTGGAGTCGACGAGGATGTTAGGGCCTATCCGTCTCGGACCAAACTCGACAATTCTATCCACGACATCCTTCCACATATCCTTGTCGACTTTGGATTCATCGAAAGCATTTTGCAGCTCTTTCTTGAATTCCTCAAGTGAAAGGATCCTCCTAGCTGCCGTGTCGCCGCTGTTGATATTACCTTGATCATCTATATCGTTATGCATATTGTTTTGTTCTAAAGTGGTATTGGTTACTGTCCTTTTTTCCGAGTAGAATCGTTTGATTGTAGCTGCATGCTTGGTTAAGAACTCAATGACCTCCGCAGGTAGTGGGAATATCCTCAACTGGATAGTCAGTTGCTTTGATGCTGAAACATTCAGAACTGTTCCTCGGGGTAGGTCGGGGTTCTTTGGCGGTGACATCTCGGGCGCATTTATCGTAGTTTCGCGATAAGGCACAATGGCTTCTCCAGCTTGGATTTCGCATTTGGCAAAACGTTCTCGTAAATCTTTAAGGCACCGTTCGAGATGGAGCTCCCCAGCAGTGAGAATGACGTGCTCTCCACTCGGAAGAACTTCATACACCGCACAAGGATCGCTTTTTTCTAGTAGCTTTAGACCATTGATCATTTTATTCAAATCGGAGGGATTGACAGGTTCGAGAGCAACTCGAACGATAGGAGGGCTGGACAATGTGACTCCTGCTAGGTTCACGGCTCCCTCCAGTTGACTGCAAAGTGTTCCGGTTTTGAGGACATGGCCTTCCATACCAGCGATTCCAAACACAACACCAGCCGGGACACTCTGCAGGTTTTCTAGGTTTCGTCCCATAAACAAGTAAAGAGCTTTTACTTCCGCTTTTTGTGGGACAGGTGATGCATGGGGGTGTGATGGTGAAAACTTGGGAGGGATAACGTAGATGGAATCTCCAACAGAAAGTGTGCCAGAATAGAGGCGTGCAAAGCCAATGAGGTGCTCTGGACCTTCCTTCTCTTTCACACTATCTTCCACGCTGGCATCTTGGAGAGCGGATGTTATTTGGGCGAAGCTATCCGCCCCTTTTTCTCCGCTGCTCTGTGCCTCTAATTTCGCTATCTCATCTCGTTTCTTTCGTGCCATTTCTCGTGCTTCCTCCGGGCTTAACATACCTCCAGATCGCCGTGTATTTTGAGGGAGTTCACTTTCAGGTATAGAAACCATTTTGCTGACGTAGGCCACAACAGGGTCATTCTTTCCTGCTTTGAAATTTACCATTGCGTCCCGAACATGGGGGCTGATAGCCTCAGAGCCAGGGGAGTCTTCAATCATGTCTGGAAGCCTTGCTGCCTGCGCAACTGGAGGGCTCGGAAGGTATTCTATCACAGACACTAAAACTGCTGTAGATAACGGAAGCCACGAGGAAAATACCGCGATAAGAATATTCCTTGGATCTCGTGAACGCAACACATGGGCTGGGATAGCAATCCCTAGTGATTTAGTGATTTTTTCCAAAAGTGCGGAATCGCTGGTAAATATCTGTTAGTTTATATGCATTTACTGGAGACGAAGAATAACCCTTACCCTTTTCCTTGCCCTCCACCCGTCGTTGCATTGTAAACTGCCCATATAGTGTCCAGAACAAGTTGGACAAACAACGGCTTCAACTTTCTCCCCTTTAGATGTTTTTGCCCAATCACTCGTTTGGTTTTCGGATCGAGGTAGAAATTTCCCCATAGAAACTTTTCTAAAAGCGATCTTTTAAATCCAAGCTTTTTCTCATACAATCCAGCAAATTGCCGTATCGTAAATGCCCATCTGTCAGTTGCGCTGCAGAAAATGACGTTATTTTTTTCTGGAGAAAAATAAAGATCTTCATCATCGGGTTCTTCGAATTGACTTTCAGTTGACTCAGCCTGCGAGATTGCCTCATCCATGTTATCCGGCAGCTGCTTTGTCCGTCCATTCTCCTTGGTAGCCGCTGCGTTTACTCGTTCTTCCATTTTCTCTCGCCACTGTAAATCCTCCTCCATCCGCTCTCCTTGATAGAAGCTTCCAATGACAGCATTCACTTGCTCCAACACTTTGCTGAGATGTAAATATGCCTCTGTGGGAGTCATTTTCAACTCTGTAACCAATCGATCTAGTTTATTGATAACAAGGATTGGCTTTAGATGCTCAACCCATGTGTGCCGCAACACAGTGACGGTTTGGCTGCAAACACCTTCGACGGCATCCACTAAAACAAGGGCGCCGTCGCATAGTCGAGAAGCTGTGGAAACTTCGCTGCTGAAATCGATATGGCCTGGCGAGTCGATTAAATTGATTAGGTATTCTTTTTGTTCAGGGTCTGCGTCTTTGGATGCTCTTCTAAGCATAGAAAAATAAAGCGATATGGCAGATGACTCCATGGTAATTCCGCGTAATTGCTCATCTGGGCGGGAGTCCAGGTAGCGGATTTTCCCAGCCATCTTCGGCGAAATGATGCCATTTGTAGCAATCAGACTGTCCGTCAAGGACGTTTTCCCGTGATCCTATAGTAGAACTCATCTCAAAAATTGTTCCCCAAATAGCGTGGACATTCAAGTCACTTACGACATGTGCAAGGATACATATCTGCTAGAAATGTCAGCCCATGCCCAAATCTAATATATGGGTTGTGGATTATGACAGAGGGTGCTTGACAGCGGGGAAGGGGAGGCATGCATTTCTAATATCCTCCGCCTTCTGCTGAAGGCGGACAAGATCACCCAAATTAACTACAGGCATTGGGGAATCTGGTCACCCCAAACATACATTGAGTACTTTTCAGAGGATAACGTTTAGCAGGAGGGGAGGAACTGCAAGCAAAGATGGGCAGTACCACGTACCCACTCGCTGCTCAGTCAGGGTAGCAGGTGTTCACAAATCCAAGCACTGACATCCACTTCTCTTAGTCTCCCAAATCATATCATATATGTCAAATCAAACAGAATATATTGGGATAGTTCTAACTTTGGTGCAGGCCAATTTTTATGCTGAGTGTTTTGCACTTTATATGGAGGATTAGTCAGTTGCACGACGACACTGTGCGCTGTGAGACCGCATGGTCCACCGTAGTAATCTATCGCGATGCCATGAGAAATGAGCATTGATTATCTACTTAATCAGTGAGCAAATTACCTATGCAAAAGATCGCAAGAATATAAAGGTAGATAATAAGATATTGGAGAAGAGTTTTGAAAGTTTTGATTGCTTAGAAATGAATTGTTACTATCTAAATGAAGAGGCAACTCATTATCTACACGAAACACCTTGCATCCTCTCAATTTCTCATCAATCTATCTACTCTGTTTGATTATCACAAGTGGAATATGATAAACCTCTTGATGATAGGGTGGAGGATTCAATGACCGGCGTTACCCACCCCTATCATGATCTCCTCAGAAGGCGTTCTCTAATTGATTCTAATGATGCCTTCTGGCAGTTCCAATGTTGGCATGGTGTTGGGACATGTTGACCTGGCTGGCGATTCACAAACGGTCGACTAAATCCACGACACCAAAAGATATTGCTCGTTTACTAAGCGGAATATTGTGGCACGGTCAGCCATTTTATGGAAATTAAATATCTTCAATTTTTACAGAATATCAATATTAGCTTACTCTCATTCTGTTGACGAAGTCATCCGTCTTTGATGAAAGATGAAGCATTGCATACTCTTCCCTATGCTATGTGCATTCGAATGTCTCATAACCAAAGGTGCTGTTGCAATCGGCTATATTCCTCTCTTGGCTTGCCTTCACGTTGAAGATAGGATGACGTGATGGAAGCAAAGTAAGAGAAGAGCTGGTTTTATATATACTCAGACACCACTCTCTGGTTCATGCTAGTAGTATCTCTCTGAGACAGAGCCCAAAACTTGCCGTCCGCTCCCAGCCGCAAATTCATTGAGTAAGCACTAAGGTTTTCCTGCCGCTGAATATAGAATAGCTAGTCGTCATCGTCAAATGATAGCTTAATTATCTTTTTCGCTTTCGGTTTCCGCGATGTTGGAGCGTTTCGGGAGGCTTCTTCAGCTGTATCTTCTCCAATTACTTTGGCTTGCTTTCGCTTTTTAGCGCCACCAATCCCGGCAAAATGCTGTTTTTGTTTGGCCTGGGAACTTTGCAATTCTCCTTGTGCATCGTCGTTTCCATCATAGTTTGCTGACTTAGTTTCCTCATCCTCATTCCCAATAGTTCCAGAGTCTTTTGCGACTTTGTTATCGCCGTCACCTCTCATCAACGCATCATATTCCTCTTTGGAAATTACCTCGTTATTTTCCTCGTCCACGTAGGTAGGGGCGTCGTCATCATCAGCATCCTTCTTCTTAGTAGGACGTGGATTTGGTCTGCCGTTGCGAACGCCACTGCCATCGCCGTATTCGCTTCTTAATTTTCGAAGAAATGTAGGCTCGTTTTTCTCTATATTGCTATTAGAAGAAGTAGATTGAAAGGGTTCTGGAATCAAGGTAAAGTGTACCATAACTCAAATGCTTCGTATTGAAACTCATGATATGTAGATGAACATGCGGACCAGATGACCCTTGCGGACTTAAATGTCAGGGTTGGAAAGGGCTGAGTGTTGGAATACTGATCATATCTTTAGATCCAAACTCATCCTACTCGGCGACGTGGTTATCCGCGATCGGTTTGGGACTAGAATATAAGAATTGATAGATAAAGTCATATAAGTCTTAGCAACGATAAAGCAAACTTCCCGGTCGAACAGTCAAGCGTTTCGTGTTTTTGCCAGGGGCAACATGCTTATCTATTTCCGGAACGGAGCCACTTGAGTTCCGGCCCCTGCAAATGCACATCAGTAACCACGAATTTACTTTGACAGCTCCTTGGAGACCCTCTTAACGCCAATTCCCTGACTGAGCAAGTCCATCAACCATGCTGTGCGCAAGTGAGTCTACTTTTCGCTGTTGTTGGCCGTCTTGAAAGTCGCTAACATCTCCACGCAGTCTCCGGAGAAGCTCCACAGGTGCCTGTTGTTTCACGAAAGAGCGGTACGTAACTCTTCATCCCTAGGCTTCAAACTCCAGCTAATATACAAACATTGATGCAGGTAATGTTTTCGAGAAGCGTCTTATCGAGGCATACATCTCAGAGAATGGCAAAGACCCAGTTAGTGGAGAGGACCTTACTGTCGAGGACCTGGTAGAACTCAAAACCGCGCGCATAGTTCGACCACGTCCGCCTACCCTCACATCTATTCCGTCCCTCCTAGGCGTTTTCCAGGAAGAATGGGATGCGCTCGCACTCGAAACATATACTTTGAAACAAACTCTGGCTCAGACTCGACAGGAACTCAGCACAGCCCTTTACCAACAAGATGCGGCCGTCAGGGTAATTGCAAGACTGACAAAGGAAAGAGATGAGGCTCGCGACGCCTTGTCGAAAGTATCTGTCGGTGCAGGTCGCGTTCACAGCAATGGCGATGCTATGCAAGTAGATAGCACTGGGCTGCCACCTGCTGTTATTGCTAGGATAGAAGCTACACAAGAGCAGTATGTTTACTTTTGCTTATTTAATCTGTCATTGGGATCGGCATTAATGTAGCATAGATTATCGAAAACACGTCGCAAACGGACTGTTCCAGATGAATGGGCCACAGGAGAAACGATACAAGAGTATAAACCGACGGATAGCTCTGATGCTATCTACCCAGGCGGGAAGTCCTTATCCCTCGATCAATCCGGTAATCTCGTGTTGGTCGGAGGTGTTGATGGAGTAGCTGGGATATATTCACTGGCTGAGAAGCGGATAGTATCGTCGCTGAAAGTTGACGGTGCTGTAACGGATGCAGTATGGATAGGGGACAAAGCGGCTGTTGCGACTTCGACTGGCGCAGTGAAGATATTTGAGAATGGCACGGAGGTTGCCAGCTTCAATTCACATGCTGGCAAAGTAACTTCACTGGTAACGCACGCTACGGGCGACATCATTGCGTCTGTGGGCGTGGATAAAAGCTATGTTCTCTACGACCTTGCTGCCAATTCTGTCATCACCCAAATTTACAGCGATGCTGGTACGTGTTATCCCATGAAATATGTATTTTTGCGACAGCTAATTCTCTCCTGCAGCCTTAACTTGTGTTAAATTCCACCCTGATGGCCATCTTGTCGCTGCTGGTGGTACCGACGGCCAGATTAAAATTTTCGATGTCAAAAGCGGAACAAGGGCAGCTAATTTCACGGCCGGCGGCCCACTCAAGGCTCTGTTCTTCTCAGAGAACGGCACGTGGCTAGCATCTGTGACTGAAAACTCTTCAACAGTTTCAATATGGGATTTGCGCAAGTCGGCGGAGATCAAAGTGCTAGAAACGGGAAACCGCGTAGATTCCATCAGTTGGGACTATACTGGACAATTTTTATTGACTGGCGGGCCGAATGGAGTGACGGTACAGCAATATTCCAAAGCATCCAAAAAATGGTCAGAGCCTCTGCGAAGCGCGGTACCCACGGTTGCAGTAGAGTGGAGAAAATCGGCTCAAGGGATTGTGACGCTGAACGGCGATGGCGTCCTTACGGTGGTGGAAGCAAAGCCATGATCACAGGATTATCTTTCTTTAGTCATCTGTACTCTAACTTACTATTTCATACCTCGTTGTTCGTGAAATTGTTGGCGCCCGGGATTTTAGTCAATAATTACATGTTGTTTTGTCAACATCATTAAAATCCATTCCCAACAGGGGTCCCTTTTAGAGATTTGATGGATATAAGCCGCGATTTTAACCGCAATAGACCCTTAAACCCTTTGAACCACTGTCAGCGTGTCCATTGTGGTGATTTTACTGCAGCCTGTTGATTGCCACTGGTTGGACGACCCGCTCGACACTAACCAACACATATGACCTTGACAACACTTCTCTCAACCCCTCGCCCATGCAACCGCCTCACGACCAACCACTCCTTTTACTCCTCCCCTTCTAGTCTGATATTTATCATGAATGGAGACCCGAATATTCAGCTTTTGGCTGTCCGACAGCCGAGAAAAGTAGGCATCTTCCTCTCCTCGTCACTTCCGCCACCCTGGGTTGCCGCGACTGCCATCTTTAACCACAACTGCTGCGATATGTCATCACCCGCTAATCATTCTCTTTTGTGATCTATTCTAGAGACCTCACCATGAGATGATAGAGTCACATTCTCACAGTAGAAGTACATCCCCATGGGATTATGCAGAGCCATCTGGTTCGAATCATGGGACCCGTTCTTTCTCTACTCATCGACCAACACTGCCACCCCTCCCACAGATGAGATTCCCAGGCGACGGCTACGATTTCAGAAGACCGATTATGGCATCCGCATCAACACCAACCTCCTCCCCTCCGCCCCCTCCGTATCAGGAAAATGTCATTGATTTGACAGATGAGCCGGATAACATTCTGTCAGACAGAGGCCCTCAAACGCCTCTAAGACAACCAGCAGGCCGTAGATCACGCCCACCGCGATTCGGAAGAAACATCATGGCAGATGTTGTTGATTTGGATGAAGAGTCATCAACTGTAAACGAGCCCAATCACTTTTCGAGCCCAGAAGTACAGTTCTTAGGCACTCAAATACGCCCAGCAGAAGAAACCCGCCAGAATGGGATTCGTCATCGAAATCAAGACGCGCCTCCCCACTTAAGAGGCTCGAGCCTTGTGGATATGATTAGGAGAATTCGCGGGAGCGGGCCCCCTTCGTCATACCTCCAGCGGCAGGAAACAATTCGAGAAGAAATGGGCCTCAGGAACCGTAACCTTGCGCGTGCCCTTCCTACCAACATTGCTCCGTTTTGGATCGGGGAACAGCCCATTCAGGGCGAATTAGAAGATGATTTCCCCATTGAGTTGGATTACAGGACGACTGGATTTGGTGCCGGCGAGACACGGCGAACGCCAGCATATGTGGCTCCAGCAGCTCCACCTCCAGGTTTTACAAGGACTGTCGGGGAGAATGAGATTGTGGTTTGTCCAAACTGTGACCATGAGCTAGGGACCGGCGATGATGCAGTGAGGAAACAGATATGGGTGGCTAAGCCATGTGGACATGTACGATTGATTCCTCCTTTGGTTTTCTGTAGCGGGTTATCGTTTACGGCCCTTAGCTTAATGCTAACAACATTCTTAGGTTTACTGTGGTCAATGTACGAAATACCGAGCCCGCTCAAGAAAGCGAACAGACAGTGCCAGCTCACCAAAAACAAAACCATTTGCAAAATGCGTGGTGGCCGACTGTGGCAAAACAATTAGCCAACCACGTGCGATGTTTCAAATCTACCTCTAGCCCTCCCTCTCTATTTTCCCCCATTTTATTCCCTTTTTGGCATTTATTTTTCCTCTTCGGTTTCCTTGTATTGAAGCATAGCGACGGTATCTTTGGAATTGTATAACGACTTGTACATATGCTTTATTATATGGAGCGGGGCACACCTAGGATTTTAAAGAAATAATTCAAACGTCTTTAGCTGCGGTGATAAATAATGACTTCCTATCATTTCTTAGATCTGATGAAGTTTTACTTGGTTGCAGGAGCATCTGATTGCTGCAATTCCGGAATCGGACTGCACAAGGCTGGTTAAAAAAACTGATAAACGACGACTAAAGATGCAATCCCTCGTCAAAAGGAGCCTAGTGACATTTATTTCAAAGCTTCTATTATACATACATATTAAGAAATTCAAGAAATGCCAAAAGTGTATGTGGCCCACCGATCCAATCCATAACAGAGCAAATATACTCCCATATTAAACGACGAAATAAATGTAAAGTGATAAAATAAATAGCCATGCACAATGGTTCGGATACTGGCCATACTGGTCCACGAATCCTCCATAAAAACACCGGAGCCGCCCGTCCTCAAACAAGCATCCATTCGTAATCCTATCATATCCGTCTCTGATCATATCGTCTTGACATCCCCATGATAAGGACTCCAAATACCCCTTACACTCTCATTCAAACTGGACACGGGCTTCCTAACTCTTTTCAGCTTCTCCCCACTGGCCTCCTTGAGTAGCAGAGCCTTCGCGAGGATCTGCTCTTTCTCAAGATTGCGGACGCATATTGCTTTTTCACGGCCGTTGATGTAGTGGCCTTTGATCACTGGGTGCTTCTTTGGCCGGGGAGATACGCGGATTTCTATCTGTGGGTTTGCGGCAGCGAAGGAGGGGAGGGTATATTTGAGGAATGCACTGAAAAGAGACGGGTTTATCAGCTTAGAACTTTCAAGAGACGAGAAATGAGCGGAGTCCTGCCGTAATGGACTTTGTGCTGCTTTTCACTTTTCTTTCTTTCTCTGGAGGCTTTGGAAGCAACTCACTTCATCCCTTTTGAGCTACCGGCCCAGTCGCAATAATGAAAGTCGAGCCGCTTGCACTGGAGGATAAAAGCACCTACGCCATTCTGGGCCGTCAAAGTTCAATTAGTCTCTTACCGTGGAAGGTAAAGCGAAGAAAACACATACTCGGCTAGCGGCGACTGTTCTGATTCCCTGGATAGGCATTGCAGCGGTTATTGTTTCGCTATTCCACCATGCAAAGAGGTTTTGATGCGTAAAGACATTGATAGGCGCTGATTGGCTGTTACCGGACATACGACTTAGTCATGTAGAAATTTACCAACTAGCCCCGATATAGTAAGCAGACTTCTGAAAATAACCCAAAGGATCCAACTGCAACCACCAAACGATATCTGTCTATTTTGACATCATCTCTCTCCACTTGCTAAGTTGCTATCTTTTGGGCGTGCCAAATCTCCCTAACAGATAAGGGGTGGGGAAGATACAGTCGTCCTAATATCTGAAGAGAGAGCGCCTCGAGTCAATGAGCCATGACGGACAAGCTTCCACCAAACCTCCTCGCGCTCTTCGCGCCTCGTCCTCCCCTGCGTTATATCCCACCTTCGGACCGCGCCCCAGATGACATCAAACCAAGCAATATCGGTGGAGTGGCCCAGTTCCTCGATGAGCTACGTAAATATGATGAAGAAGTCCCTTACAATGCCACTGAGAGCTGGCTTCAGCGCAAGGCGAGGCTGAAAGAGGAGAAAAAATTAAATATAGAAAGACATCTTACTGAGGGTCTTAAGGAATGTATGTTTCCCGAATTCTTAAGGCTGAAATCTCTTTCGATACCAGCTACCAATCACGTCTTGCTAACGCGCTTTATATTTTCGCACCTGACAGATAACCCTAATAATGACCCCCAAGTCCGGGGCGATGCCTTTAAGACGCTATTCGTGTCACGTCTTAGCTACGATGTTACAGAAGCTGATCTGGAACGGGAGTTTGGCCGTTTTGGACCTATTGAACGGGTTTGTACTCATTCCATAACTTATAGTGCTACTTGGAATAAAAAGGGAGAGTAAGAGCTAACACTTGTATATACATATCTACCAGATTCGCATTGTTGTAGATACTCACAATCCAAAGAATAACGCTAAAAAGCCACATAGAGGCTATGCTTTTATCGTTTATGAGCGTGAGCAAGACATGAAGGGTACAGAATCCCCAGCGCTACAAAACACGCTCCCCCTCTCCCTCTCCCTCCCCTTCCCCTTTCCCCATCCATCAACTTTCCTAGTGGTTTCTTTGGTTCTTTCTCTTTCGATGACCCCTCAATAATCCCTTGTAGAGTGATGTCGAAGGTAATGAGATCCATAACTAATGCTACCGGAAATTTAATCGGTCCGTTTAGCGGCCTACAAAGTGACAGACGGTATCCGTATCAAAGACCGTCGCGTGTTGGTCGATGTTGAGCGAGGTCGTACAGTGAAAGGTTGGAAACCTCGTCGGTTTGGCGGCGGTCTCGGTGGGAGAGGATATACGAAATCCATGCCAGCGCGTCCGATGGGGCCTGGGGGTTTTGCTCCGTCCGGACCCGGTGGATTCCGCGGTGGTGGCTTTGGTGGGAGAGGTGGATTCCGTGGTGGGTTCCGTGGTGGTGACCGTGGATTCGGTGAACGAGGTGGTATTGGATACCAAGGCGGCCCCGGCGGTCGCAGCGGATTTGGCGCCTCTAATGGAGTGGGTGGTCAGCCACCACCGAATGCGCCTTCAGGCCCAGGCGGGGGACGTAGTGGAGGTTATGGAGGCGGTGCGAATGGGCACGATAGTATGGGTGGGTATGGTGATGCTAGACGAGGCAACGCCTTCGATGATAGAGCAGGACATCGCGGAGGTAGCAGGCATGAACGGGAGTCTCGTGGAATAACGGGAAGCAATCGTGAGCCGGTAAGACCTCGTGATGGATTTGGGGACCGTGACCGTGACCGTGATCGGGAAAGGGGACCGGGACAGGGACCGTGGTGGAGATCGTGGTAGGGGAGGAGAACGGGATAGGGATCGCGATTACCGAGACAGAGACCGTGATCGTGATAGAGACAGAGAAAGGTATGGACGACGGGATGATGAGTATTCTCGAAAACGATATCATGAAGGCGACGAATACGATGACCCCCGCAGCAAAAGGAGATACTGAACACCCTATATTCTCATTTTACAACAACGGTTTGTTGGTGGGTATCTTCAGTTCCTCGATTTTCTCTTTGACTCATTTCGTCCTTCCAGGGTAAGGTCGAGGTATTCGTGAACAGTTATTATCCGTTAGTCTGGTATTGCCATAAATTCTTCTTCTCGCCGGCATAACAACCATGCGAATTACCGTCCCCGCACGCAGCAACACTTTTCATAATTTTTCTTTCGCCAACAATCGATCTGTAGCCATGCTTCGAGCGTGACTTACCCTTAGGTCACACCGGTCCGGTCGATTTGGATGGCTTTGTATAATTTTCTTATTTTCTCCATTCTTCCTAGTACCTGATGGGCTCCGAAATTTCCGCTGTCACTGTCCTTTGTTCGTTTCGACCTTGGTTGTATCGGTGGGTAAGTATGTATTTTAGGGCGGCTGGAACGATTGTGGAAGAAAACGAGAAAGCAGGGGGAAAGAGCAAGAATAAGTGCATCTGAAGGAAGGCTGAGGTAAGATCGGGTAAGGCTATTTGGCCAGTCCAAATATTCCTCGCATTAAGCTTTCGCATGATGTGCGAATAGCTCTGTTTGCTCGTGGTTGCTTTTATATTCATTTGTCTGTCTTGATATCTATGATTATTCTACTTTGCGTTGACTTTTACTCACATTGAGCATCTCTCATGAAAGGTAATTTGGAACTTAGTAGAGGGAGAGAGTAGCGATCATCGTTTATTTGATATAGGGAATTTTTTTCGATTCTATAATTTTCGTACTTCATTAAGCCCCAAAGTGGAATTTGCAAAAAGGAATCCCATGAAGACAGCAGATCAAATAGAAAGATTTCAGAGTTAAATAAAAAATGAATGAATGAATGAAAAAAGAAAGAAATGCCTTTACTCCAACTCCATAATCATGCCATGGCAAGATATCCCGTTCTATCTTTCCATTCATTTCATCAATGAAACAAACCCTCTATCCTCAAACAAACCAACCAACCCGTAAAAGGTCAACCCTCCATATCGTGATCTTTCCTGTCCAAAATGACAATAGACCCATCCTCCCTGTTCCACTGTGCTTTCATCTCAACCCTAAACTCCGCAACCGCAACCCCAAAAATCTTCAACAACGTCGTCTGCCTTGAATCCAAGGTCTCCCCAGCTTTACACACCTGATACCCGTCCCCATCCATCTCCAACACAACTTTGCCCCCGATCAGTCGCGTTGGCACACCGAGCTTCCTCAACGTCGGCTCAATAGTGTGGCTGAGCGGCGCGTCCAGGCTGCTGGACACCTCGCCGGCCTGCGAATACACGATGCCGCTGGGGATTGTGAAGGAGCGGGGGGCGACGGCTCCCGCGCGCGCGAAGTCGGTGGGGTGGAATGAGTCGAAGAAATCGAGGACGGATTGTGGAGATCGGGAAGTGAAGAGGAGGCCGACGGCGCCGGTCAGGTAAGGGGCTAGTTTTTCGAGATTTGGGGCACAGGCAGTCTCTGGGGTGTTACCGAGGGCGACGGCCATTACTTTTGTTTTTCCGAAGAAGAGGCTGGTGGCTTGTTAGAAGGCTTCTCCCACATGCGTGTATTATATTTTTGACGAAGAGGGGAAAAGGTGATAGTAATGAAAATAATCTTTTGGGGTGGGAGGAAAGATATACATACCGAGAATCAGCAAACTCGCTGCGGACATCCTTTAAATATGTATTTCTCATATTATCCACTGAGAACAAAAATAAATGGTCATATTGAGTGACAGCCGTTTGAATATTAGCGAACAGCCGTCTGGTCTGTTCCTTGTGGGACTTTTTGGTGACTTTGGACTCATGGACCACCCGCGCCCTCTTGGAGACAGGCATCTTGGGCAATAATGTGCGCGTGTGTGTGTAAGTCCGTATCTGCAGAAATGGCACGCTTTAGAGTGTGAGAAATCGAGTTCATGAAAGGAAATATGAACAATATATATTATTTTCCTCTCCGACTTTTTATTAACTGACTTTGTAGAATTTCCTATTATCCTGCTGACTAGTCCAGGCTGGGAAAACAGCTATGATTAGATAAGCATATATCTGACGTTGAACGTCTTTTGGCGCTGAGATCGAACGATAACCAACAGATAACCAACAGAGTCGACGGAGGCGATTGTGAACAAGACGGACAAAGAGATGCAATAGGCACTCTGTATATTTACCATTGCTTATATACATATATACATGGCGGCCCCAGCCAGGACGAATGACCCACAGAGATCGCTGCTAACGGTCTCTTTATTTCCGAAATGCTTGACTTTCTGGACTACATCCAGTTTGCCTTCTCTGATGCCTCGAAATGGAACCGCGACAATTCTTACTCACAGCTGACGATGACGGCGAATGGTATGTTGTCGCAAAGATTTCTGCTGCAATTTTTCCGTGTAGCATGATGTACAGAACGTGCAGTTCGCTTATATCATTGTCACAGCCCTCCTCGATTTCTCTACGCCGGAACGGCTGAAAGTTAATCTATCATCCCTCTCAACTCCCCACTTTGCAACGACATATACCCTCGGTACCGTTGGCTTGATCGATGGCTCCATATCCTATCTATTCACAACAGTTCCACTTCGTGATACCCCCAGTCGGGGTACTTTGATTCCTCTCCGTAAACTTGTTCCAGGGTATCGGCAAATCAGCGCTCCTTCTCTTCCCCCCGGGCTCCCCACAGTAGACGGTCGAGATGGGGATCTTGCAATCGGCGACACCCAAGGGATCCTAAAGAAAAAACCCACGTTATTACATGCGACATTACATCTACCGCCTCCAACTACGCTCACAGGGTTATTTCTCCGTCGTTTATCTCCTACCACCCAACTCTCTCTTGCATTTTGTTCGAGCCGCGCATCCACGCCAAAGTCCGCGCCTCAAGCGGCGTTGGTAACACAGATACTCCACGACACCGGAAAATACAGCTCGGAATTTCTGTTTAGTACGGACAATGCATTATTTGGGTTCAAGGGACTCTGGAATTTCGGACCCGATCCCAGGAAGCAAAATCAACAGGGAGATCCCGCACGGGAATCATGCCGGCCCCTACTCTCTCTCCTTTCAGCGGGTGCAGAGGCGTATTACTCTCCTGTTTCGTCTGTCGTAGGTCTATCCACCGGCCTGCGATTCACAACTTTACCTGCCGCAACCGAAAGTCCCCATTTCACCTTTCCTTACACCCTGACATTGACATTAACACCCCTAACCGGTTCCATGTCAACCACATATTCACTCCTCGCCTCTCCAAACGTCTCCTTCAGTTCCCGTTTCGGCTTCAACGTTTACAGCTGGGAGAGTGAGATGGTAGCCGGCTGCGAATTATGGCGACGCAGCAGCAACAATAGACTCCACGACGACAAGTCACAGAGAGATTCCCCTCTGTTTGCCGTTGATGATTTGACCTGGGCGAGACGCAAAATGGGCTTGCCCGACACTGCACCCTCCCGGAATCGCGAGTGTGATGATCTCCCCCCTCCTCGGCGGGACAACTACCATCACCAACGGAGCCCCCATGCATCCGATTCGGTAATTAAGGTCCGGGTTGACCAGTCTTGGAATATCCGCGCGCTCTGGGAGGGCCGGGTTAAAGAACTGCTTGTGAGTGCTGGTGTTGCGCTGGGGCCAACGCCGCGCTCGTCGCTGTCATATGCGTCCTCATCTGCTGCGGGCGGCGTCGGCGCTGCTGGCGGATTAAGCTCATATGGATGGAAGAGTGTCGGCGTGTCAGTATTATACTCGTCTTAAACTATGGGGAGACATGTCTATAGCACTGTCAACCACGATTTTGTGACGGCCTAATGCGTATGCTTCTTTTGACCCGAGGCTTGGACGTGCCAGGATGTTTATCCGGATCTCTCAGCGCTCGGGAATTTTCTATGTCCTTTTTTTTCTCTGTATATAATTATCGATATACCCACCCACCTAATGTGTCCTTGTAAATGTTGTTATTATTCCTCCATTCTCGTCCTCTTAGAAAGATATTCACAAGATATGTGCCTCTAATGCGCATTATCGATAGAAACTCTCTTTTATGATTATGATTATTATGATTCTTGTCACTCAATTATAGATGTGTATCTGATCAGAGAGTATAACACCTATTTAAGAATTTCTCGGCATTTTCTAGTCAGTTACATGTTTTGAGGCCAGGCCAGAAGGAAATGCAGCAAATTCAAATACTCAGGAATAACCTCTCAGAATTTGCCGTGAAAGTTGAATGACAGTATAACGTGTATGATATCCATTTAAGGGGCACTACAGTAGTGAGTGGGCCTGTATATTCACCCTGGAGAAATCCATGCTTCAATTTTAGTCCTGGTTGTTGGCTTTTACGCTTGACAAAAAGAACTATAGACGCAATGATGGATTTACAGCATCACACCGACTGGTGTGTGGCTTTGAAATTTTGATCTAATTATTCACAAATGAATATATACTCAGGGAGACCTCCGATTGCTGCGAACAAGACGTTCTGAGGCTGCGAAATGGGGTGGCCAGCGACTTGATCCTATCAATGGCTGAAGGTGTCCTTCATCCACTGTAATCTACTGTTGCGTATTTGGCCAAAACTTTTTATCAAGAGAGGACACGAGAAAATCCTAAATACCAAAAATTTACCAAGAACTTGGTAGCACGCTTTATCAAGCGCAATGACGAGCTTTAGTCTCGCTTTATAACTAATTAAAGATATGACTAGGCAGCAAGGGGCTGAAAGTACGGAGTAACAATCCAAGGATCATCAAGCCATGGCTTCAGCTTGTATGCAATATAATTGCTAAACAAGGCAAAATGCGGCATTGCAGAGCAAGACAACTACAATTTTGAACTGACACAGGCTTCAAGTGGGCGTGATAGACACGTCCCAGGGGGTAACTTGGACAGTTCTAGGTGCCAATGGTCGATTGTGCCAATAATCAAGTGCAGCTCGATTTACCCCAACATGATCCGCGAGGATTCATATAACTATGCGTTAAAGGAAGGTTCAAAAAACAGAAACAGCTTCAGAAAGGCAAGCTTCAGCTATATACTTTGTTTAACCACGACTCCTCAAGCAACAAATGAGCGGGCTTTCGCTCTTCCGGTGCAAGAACAAGCATAGATTGGAGGAACTGGACAAAATCTTTCTTCTCCTGATTGGAGTAAAAGCTCTTGTTTTCAATGAACCCACCAAATGAGTATCCGGACATGCTGGGGGTGCCCTTAAGACTAACTACCTATCACAATTTTTATCAGGCAATTCTACTGAAACAGTGATTGTGCAGTTATTGCCTTTCGAGTCAAAATATTTGCCTGATAATTGGCCTCTATTGAGTAGGTCTCTGGGAAAGCGGCCGAAAAGAGTAATCATATGGGACAAATGATAGTCAGGGACATAAGACCCCGCTGCACTTGGACGGCTATCAAACAGGTACTTTCCTGCGAAAACATCATAGGTCTAGAGCCTGTTTTAGCTAAAATGTGTTTAGTGGATTGGATTCTTAAATATCCACAACACATCGAGCATTCCATATGTCGGTACCCGCATCCCATTTTGCCTCCAGTGAAACCTCGGGTGCTCGTAGGCATCGAGGCTGGATAAACTCCGTCAGGTGCCTATCAACCCAGGTAGCTTTACCACTGTCGGATACCTAAAATATCACATATATAGAGATCTTGCAGAGCTCGCTTACCGGTACCAAAATCGGCTAACTAAACATCAATGCTTGAAAAATCGCTATTCACATCGGGAGAGGCTCAGAAGCCATGTAAAACTCCGACAGTTTGAATACATCCGACGGTAGGGCAGGCAGGGCAATCAGCGTGTTTTCATGCATCTCAATAAGAATGTTCCCTGGTTCAATATATGTTCAAATCTTAGCCTTCTGCTTTGAGTTAATCAAAGGTTACAAACCTGACAATCAGAGGATGACCTGAGGGTGGTTTGTGGTGGCACTCCAGATGATGCTTGTAGCATGTTGGGTGGTGGTGAAGGCAACCACAGGCGGGCTTTTAGGCCAGCAGTGGTGTGTCTGCTGCATGGCTTTTCTCGCATACTTTTTCTAGGTCCGGCGGTGTAGGAATAATAATAATAAAAAGCGTTACCGACCGGTTTGGACTATGCCGCAAGAACTGTGGAGATAAGCAAGTGCAAGTAAGAGCTGCTTCGCAATCCGCCTGACCATTCGGCACAGGTATCTGAGCTGGTTGCCTCCTGCACTAGGCAGATTTATATGATCTCCGTGCGGCCCGAAAATCATCAGCAGGGCTGAAAATATGCCCTTTCCCGCGGTGCGTATAGCCATCATTTGTCATGAACCCGTAGCATGTCGAGGTCATACAGCTTGCGGGATTTTCAAGGCAAACAATTCCATTGGTCCTTTGGTTCACAGTTTATCGGTCAGGAAATTACAGAGAGGAAAAGGCGATATCCTAACCACATTGTAGAATGGCCATAACCTGATACTTTCCATAACACACATCGCCCAACCTTGTAGGTTGATACCCGCCTGGACGGTACTTTTGGTGTTACTCTTCTGATAGCTTCCTAATGTGGCCCCGCGTGGTTGGCATTTGTCGGGTGGCAGTTGGGAGTAAGTACATGTAAGCCTTTCAAAATATTCATGATAGCGATGGCAACAAAGTACAAGTGTGGATCAAGGTTGAGTTTAATTCTCGGAAATAGAGGATGCTAGCTAGCACATTAGCTCACCATTGAGTTAAAATCTAGAAAAGGTTGACGGGCCGATCCAGTGCCGCGTGGAGTCAACAACCAGGGATATTTAATTAATATACATTCGGCTGCGTGCATCATTCTGTTCACGCATCATTCTGTTCACGCATCATTCTCTTCCCAATCCCATGCCGTGGTGTTGGGAGGGAGGTTGACCCACGTCGAAAGATTTCCCAGCTGAGCTGAATATTTGAACCACACTCAGCAACTTTGAGGCTCATTTTACTGTAAGCCAACAGATTAATCAACCATCGCACAATATGGTGATGTACCCAGATGTTTGTGATGTCATACAGGCACTTCGAGGATGTGACAGACCTATCATGCGATTTAAATGAGCAAAGCATCCTTTTTTGAGCTCCTTACGACTATTTTTTCCCGGGTAGTATTCAAACCTTAGCTGGTTGATTGAGTGAGTGATTGATTAGTTCGTTCGCCCCGACCTCTCCCTTTGCCGGACATGCAGGATACAACTGCTCTAGTTCCTCCTCTGTAATTTTCTGTTTTATATCTCCCTCTACGTGGATTAATAGTTTGCCTCCAAGAATAGGTGAGAGTTTATTGGATCTGCTCCCAGTTAGTTCTTTGGCGTTGTTTCCAACATTGTTGGCGAAGTTTTGGACAGTCTACACATGTAGAAATTTCTCCCTAGTTCCACACCCACATTGGTCACAGATCTGTGCCGAGATTCTCAGGAGCGATGCATATTAGCAAGCGGCGAGAATGAGTGGCAGGCAGTGTCGAGTCGATGTCTATTCCTTCAGCCAGTCTTGTGTCAGTTTGCTGCGGCTATATTTCTGGCTGGGGTAGAACCAGTCTTGAAATGGTGGGGTTGGTCGTGGGTGGACTGATAGTTTCGCGAGTTCATCTGCCACGTCTTGTCCAAAAATCCCGCTGGGGCTGGGTATCCATTGGAATTTGACGTCGACTTTTAAGGATCTTCTGGGCCTTTTTTTTCTTCACTGTGGTCAGAACGCCTTGCACCATTTGTTGTCCTGATCCTTTTGTGAGACTCCGGATTGCATTCAGCGAGGCTCGTTGATTGTTGTGTACGTGCGTGGTCGTGGGGGTTTTAAAGGGGTTTAAAGGGGTTTAAAGGGGTTTCTTGGCTGCTCATGGTCCTTGGCGCTAAATGTCATGCAAGAAGAGCAGCATTGATATACAAACTGTCGGCGTTTTGATCAGAAGGATGCCAAGTCTGGCCTTTATATCCATAAAACAACCCGCGCAATTAAGTCATTAGCTCTGCCATCCCCGTGTTCCTCGGTCGCCGATAGTACTGCCGTGTGTTATCGAACTGCTCTGTCTCAAAATCATGTTTCTGTAAATAGTTAACAGTGAGCATAACTGTGCAGGGGGGGGAAGGAAACAAACTATGAAATTAGCCATCTCGGCCACGGGGCTCTTTATCAAATGCAATCAATTCCTTCTGCCTCCCTGAAAGATGTCCATTAAACGTTTGTGCCCTGTCAAAATCTAGCCAGATTACCCTTTCTAGATTCCCGTCCACAACCATCATATCCCTAGGATAAAGGTCATCAAAAAAGACTAGCGCGTCATAGATCGCATTCAGTCCACCAGCAAAATTTTGCCTTCTTCTTTCCTCATACTCAGTCCATTTAAGCTCCTTCATGTTAGGAATGTATTGCAAGAGAATGGCTGTGGGTGGGTATTCGTCGTTGACAAAATGCCTAAGGTGGGACAGATATTCTCTGGGATCAATATTTTCATTTATTCTATAGAACTGATGAGTTATATACCCTGGGCACAAATTTTGACTTGCGTCAAGCGTCGGTAAAAGGCGGATTCACAGATAAGGATATTTGTTTCACGGTGCTTTGGGTCCCAACGGCTGTTTGGGGCCTTGACCATGGTGCTGTAGAAAGTGTCAGAGAAAATACATCTGCAGGAGGTTCAAGCCACTGACTAAAACCACCTTCACAACGCAGTCATTTCCTCTGACAGCAAGAGTCCCTGTCTGCTAGATGAAGACGATCTCAGCCACATCAACGTCTACAAGCTCCATTGCGAGGTCTCAATATTGACGAAGAGGCAAGCCTAAATGAATCAGGGTAGAGTGACAGCGTTGTTATAAACTTGATGAAAGAGAAACATGCTAAAGTATATCCTTGAATGTGCCAAAAAGCGCCAAGAATCGCCGACGAGGCAGATACATATTTGATAAAAGATGGTTAAGATGTTGTTCATGAGATGAGTCTCTTATGTTTTTGTGAAAATTGACTTGTCAATTCTTATCCAATCCTCAGATCGCTCTGGCTACTGACCTCTACAAATCCACTACGAGCACTTACTCTGGTCAAAGCTATAGTTCGCTAGTTAGTTATTTAGTTAGTTGACTAACTAGTTATATTTCGCTGGCTAGCTCAGCACGAATTCAAGTTCTCAAGAATGCGACATGAAGCATGCTTGTAAAAAGGAGAACAAAAAGGTGGTATGATTCTCCTCAATACCAGCGATACCGACTCTCCACGCAATCCCTCCTAGAATCAGTGTTCCATCCATTGGCTGGGGATGTCTCACGCTAAGAGTGGCGGATCCAGAATGTGTGCACAGTTGTACCGGTCAGTTGATGAGCTTGATACCCGGATGACAGCATTGACAGCCCAGGGAGAGCCAGCGACAGGCGGAGACAGGCCCGTCGCCGGGCAGCTGGCAGGCTAGTAGCAGCCCGGTTGTTTAGCAGCTCTTCACCGGGTTGGCAACTACTCCGTACATACTTTTCTCTTCTCTCAGGCGATATGCTGTATATTTTTGCTACCAATTCTTGGCCCACTGAGGGGGGCCAGACAGAAATGAGAATGAATAACCGGGAATCAGGGTGTATCTCTGCTTGTTTTTTTTTTTGTTTTTGTTTTTTTTTTTTTTTTTTTTTTGATTTTTTTTTTTCCCACATAGCTTTTCGGTTGACTTGACTGATTCAATCAATCACTGGAAGCGCGGAACGTTCCCAGCGATGCGCATCGTTGCTTGGTTGGTTGGGCCCTTTGTTCTAGGGAGGAAGAAGGCCTTTATATTCTCGCTCAACGATCAGCACTGTAACCTATCCAACAAGGTAAAAGAATTTAGCCATCGAGGTCGAAGAACGGCGCAGTCCTTTTTCCATGCCCTTGATCTGTCTGTCCATTGTACGGACCAGAGGCAGCTGCAGCCGCTGGTAATTATTCGATACTATGAATATAATACCTTGCAGACGATCACATCGCCAACCAGACCGGATATATAGACGCTGTTCAACGTCAAACGGCCCGCGAAGACAATGAAAGAGAAACAACAATAATAATTGATAAAAACGAACGGCTGTAAATATAAATCCACCGCTGCTGTAGCTGCTATTGTGCGCGTTGCCTCGAGATCCATTTAAGTTTTGCCCGCCCGGTCCCTTGGCTGCAGACCGAATCCCATTCCATCCAGAGACATCGATCCTAAATACTCGCAACTCTTCATACAAGATCGCACTCCCCTCCAGCCTCGTCCTCCTCGCCCTCACGCTCTCCGGCGGGACTGTCACCTTCTGACTGCAGGTTTCCTGTGTGTCTTTGCTCTGGTCTTTTCTCCCGCTTTGTGCCGTCTTCTTCCTAAATCCCAAATTGCGCCCAGCCACCGATTTTGGTTGATCGATCAAATACCCATCAACACAGTCCGCCTCACACGAGGATCTATCCCGCGCTTTGTACAGGGTACGGAGTACAGTACGTGGAAGTTACCACCTTTCCCTCAGGAACAGCTATATCTACAAGGACGACGACGGCAGCAACCGAAACAGCAGCAGCGGCAGCAGCAGCAAGAATCGTTTAGCGCCAGCCCACTCTCGAGTGCAAGCTCATGTCTATGTCCTCTCCCGCCACTGCTGCCAGAGTCCCCTCCCCTGAGCCCTCGTCCTCGTGCTCGCGCCCCAGTCGTCTGCGCCGCTTGAGCAACCTCCGGGCGTACACTCACTCCCACCTGTCTGGCAACTCAGCTAGCAGTAGCCACCGCTCGTATCGAAACAGCCTGACGCGGGCTGTTGGCCTGTCATTGCATTCCACTGCTCCTCCAGCCTTGTCTGCCACAGACACTGCTCCTCCTATAGATACTGCGGCTGCTGATGCAACTGCTACTGGTGCTGCTACAACTACTCCGACGGCGACGACGACGACGACGACTGCGACTGTTGCAGCTACTTCTACCACTGCTACCACTACTACAGCTTCTCTCACCCGGTCACCTCCTACTCGTCACCCATGTCCCGAGCCTGACCCTTCAAGGCTACCTACCAACCTCTCCGCGCAAAGTGAGAGCTCCTCCAGCTCAGACCATTCGCACCCCCCCTCGTCATCTGCTTCTTCACACTCTATCCCGTCTAACGACCTGGAGCCATCGGAGCCGGGACCAGCATCCGGCATGACACGACATCGGAACATAGTACGCATGGATGTATCCGGAGCCAGCCAGGACCAGTTGCAACACCTGTCGCCGTCGCCGTCAGCTTCCCGGAATCGCAGTGAAACCACTCCCGAACACTCGACTGGTACGACCCGAATCACGACGCCAGGGAATATGGAGTCTCCCAGCAGACGAGCAGGCGCTTCTCCTTTGCGGTCCTCCCCAGATCTCTGTTTGAAATCCGATCCCCCAAAGCCCGCCATACGTTTCTATGCATATCAAGACCCCCATCAGAACTCACGACCCTCGCTACCTTTCACAACCACTTCACGAACCCTGCCGACTGAGTCTTCTGTAATTCGAGTGGGGCGGTATTCCGAGCGTGATGGGATTGCTGTCCACAATCCAACAGAACCATCCGATGCCCCAATTGGCTTTAAATCCAAAGTCGTGAGCAGGAGACACTGCGAGTTTTCCTTCGTTAATGGCCAATGGCATATTCGGGATGTAGGGAGCTCCTCGGGAACTTTCTTGAACCACATGCGCCTAAGCCAACCCAACATGGCTTCGCGGCTCTATGCCGTGAGAGATGGCGATATTCTGCAATTAGGAATTGATTTCAGGGGCGGCGAGGAGATGATTTTCAGATGTGTACGGATGCGAATCGAATGCAATCGGACTTGGCAGCAACAAGCAAATGAATTTAAGTATGTTGTGTTCATTCTCCATTGTATTTTTTTTTTTGTTTCCTACACCGGTATTTTTCGGAGTGTGGGAAAGAGTTCACACTGACAGATGCAATACCAACAGCAAAAATACAGCGGCTCTAATCAATAACCTGGGGAAGGGCAAGAACGCGGCAGATTATGCGGGTAGCAGGGAATGTTCCATATGTCTTGGTTCGGTTCTGGTACGTGGGGCCCCCTTCCCGTATCGGACTTGGAGCCGTTTCTTCAGACTAATGTGATTTCGCAGCGTCCCTATCAATGCCTTTTTATGGCGGCTTGTGCTCATGTCTGGCATTACAAGTGCATACATCGCCTCATCCACACACCAGAATACCCCATGTTCCAATGCCCAAACTGCCGTGCATATACAGATCTCAGTGCAGAGGTAGACGATTCGAACGACCCCTTTGAGGACGAGACGTATCCGGAGCCTCTCAAGTCCCAAGACCAGCCTGCACAGGGTTCTCCCGACAACACAACTGCCGCAACCACAAACTCCGCCGCCGCCAAATCTACAGGCGAGAGATCCGCTTCGTCGCCGAATGGCCATAACCATCATAGGCAGACAAGTGAAGACCATGACAACCTAGCCGCTGCAGTCGACATGATGAACCTTGATGAGACCCCTTTAGCCACCCCACGAGCCGGAAACGGAGTTCCGAGGCGAACGAACTCGACCGCGAATGCGGACCTTAATACTCCGGATGTAGGTATGGCAAATGGAATAAGAAACGAGGCGGCGGGCCATGGATTCGGCGAGACGATCATTCGCAGTTCCAACATCGACATACCCCAATGCTTGCGGCCTCCCGATGGTCGTCGACCACAGCAACCCCGGCATGGTGATAATGTCGGTGGCGGTGCAGGTGCAGGTGGTAATGATATGTTCGAAGATACCCCATTGACGCCACGGAACGATCTTGGCCCTTTAGCATTTGACGGTCGTGCTGGCCGGTTATAGTTTTTTCCGTTATCTATTTTTTTTTTTTTTTTTCCTATTTGCTCATGGCGTTCCTTTTATGCTTTGCTTCTTCCTGCACTTGCATCATAATTTTTCTTTCACTTCGTTTACGTTACTTTTATGCCAATCACTTGGGTTCAAGTAGTTTGACTTACTTTTTTCTCCTCTTTCCCCCCCCCCCCCCCTCCCCCTCCTTTTAAGCTATCTTTTCCTTTTCCATCCACTCTTTTTAAAAACCCTCACTGCATCAACTTCTACTTGATTGATTGCATTCACATCATTTTCCATTCGTCATCTCCAAATAGCATTTATCTGCTTCGGTTACATGGTGCTCCTTCCTCTCAATCCAAAAACGCAGCCAGCCAAATAGTGACGCGCAGCTAAACAGATATTCTACTCCAATGGGACTTGACTGGGCCGGGCAATGTGATGTGGCTCTCTCTATCCTCCTCCCTTCTAGCAAACCTCGTTTCGACTTTGCTTTGT